TAATCGCAGGGTGCTCATTCATGCAGCCTTCTGTTTTTGTTTGAATTTAACTTGACTTTAGGTAGTTCTGCCTGCACAGCTGGGTAAGTGATGTTCCTGTACTTGTAGTTCATTGTTTACTTCCTCCAGCCCTATAACAGTCAGTCTGTGCCTTTAATAAATGTACATTTTTATTTCATCAATGTTTTGTTTTTATTATGTTTTTGCAAAAGATGGATTATGCTTTTAAATAAATAAGTACTGTATTTAAATATTACATAAAGTCTGCATAGAAGAGCTAGAGCTAGCACTAAAATAAAAATGTTATATCCTATAATTCCTTTTCATTTTACAGATGGAACACTACCAACTGTTAACTATTGACCTTTACCTAATGTTACCTTATTCAACATATCTCAACATGAATACAATGAAAAATATCATACTTCCTGAATACCAAGGAAACGTGCAACGTAGTAATTCATTTATTTAGACAGATACATTTGCACGCATATAGCTTGATCTGCACTAAATAAGTGTGATACATTGCTATCCTTTTTTACCTCAACATGATCAGTTAAACATTTTTAAAGGTCCCCCCAAAAAATTGTTTTAAATGAAGCTTCCCCTTTACTGTTTTTTTTAATTCCAGAGTCAAATTTAAAAAATAATTTTAAAGTACCAAACTTTTTGGGGCGGAAAGATGTTTTTGTTCATGCTTGAACAAATAGGGAACCCATATGGCAGACATATGGTATGGTTAGGTCTCAAGAATCCTGAAGTGATGGTACTGATATCTGTGAAACGTCTGTTTTATCAGGGTATGGAATAGCTAGGGTTCTTTGCAAATTCAGTTTTTCACACTATTCAAGTAATAATTCCCTTGCAAAGTGAACAGCCTATTTGCCTTAGGTAAATTAACCAAATCATCAGATGGCTTCTTTCATGTCTCTTGCAAACCTGTTGAACTTTCTGTCCAAAATGTGCATTTTCCTTTCCTCAAAAAAATGTCACTTTTCCTTAGGATGTAGGGTGATTGCTGAGCCTTGACTTGTGGAATTTGCCTTCCTTATGTTGAGCCATTCATTTTTGAGAGGTTTGTTTGTCTCCCAAATTTAGAGGTCTTCACATTCCTCAGAATACTGCACTGTGTACTTGTGTTTGGGTATTGGGTCTTTAGGGTGTACAAGCTGCTGTCTAAGTGTGTTGCTGGGCTTGAAGGACAAACAGATGCAATGCTTGTTAATGATCCCTCTGTTTTTTTCCAGCATTTCTGCCACATTTAAGATGACTATAAAACTCAGAGGGGTTGTTTTACTAAAACTGTAGATTGCAAAATCTGGCATAGCTCTACATAAAAACCAATCAGAATCCAGGTTTTTTTTTTGCCAAAGCTTTCTGTAATTGAACAAGCTAAAGTTAGAAGTTGATAGGCTACCATGCACAGCTGCACCAGGTTTTGCACTCTCCAGTTTTAGTAAATCAACCCCAATGTGTTCTCCTTCCTCCACTCTGTTCAATGATTGAGGGATGTTTTAAAAAAGCCTAATATGAGTAGTCACAAACTCTCAAAGCACTCCTGATATATCTGTGTTCTTTGTCTTTAGACTCTGTGGGGTTGATTTACTAAAACTGGAAAGTACACAATCTGGTGCAGCTGTGCATGGTAGCCAATCAGCTTCCAATGCAAACCATACATGGATCGAATTCCAAACAAATTTTCTTTAGAAAATCTGAGATTTTGTGTGTTTTGTAATCCGATGGTGCCACCATAGATTTCGAAATTCAACCAACCAAACCTTTAATTTCACCTCATGTTGCTACAGAAAAGAATTTTTGTGGCCAGGAATTTTCCTTTCTTTCCAGGTCACAGCTCCTGATCATTTCCTTCATGTTTTTATTTCTCACATGATTCTCCCATCATTGATTCGAAATTCATTAGTTGTTAAAAAAATTTCCAACATGCCCGACCACTTAAATTCGATGGCCACCCGAAAATCGGCCATTTCTGTGACCCACTAATGAAGTGAAATTCGAACGAAAATTCTTAGAAAAAAGATTTTCGAAAGAAAATTCTTTTGGAATTCAACCCAAGTATGGCCAGATTTACTTCAACTTGTTCAATTAGATATTGCCAAAAAGACTGGAAGCTGATTGGTTACCATGCACAACTGCACAAGATTTTGCACTCTCCAGTTTTAGTAGATCAACCCCTGTGTTTGTTTGTCACCATTCAAGTCCAATGTTGCAGAGGTCTAATAATCCCCTGTTTTATACTCCAGTGGATGATAAAAGTCAAAAAGCAAATACCATTGTCTGTGTAGGTGGGCTTCCAGTAGAATTCAGTGTGCAATTCACCCCCTCCATGTAACACATGGCCTTAAAAGGGTAGTGTATTTATCTGTGGGAACGTGATGTATTTGTCTACAGAGTTTATGTGTTCACTGAAAGCTTGTATTTCACATGTTCTAATCTTGACCCATGCATCATCCACATATCTGCACCAATGACCTGGTGTAATTCCCCTGAAATAGTTCAAGGCTCTCTTCTCCATGTCCTCCTTGTACAGGTTAGCTACAATGGGATATACAAGTCATCCCAATTCTGGCATTGATGGAGTTTTCTTCAGATGAAGTTCAGGTGCTTCTATCTCTTAGTTCATGTTTAACACCAAACTAACTTATCTGAAAACATGCAAACCACAAGAGGGTTGTAGCTTTTATCCCAAGGTCAGATCTCAGCTCTTTGAAGACACAATTTTCATTCATTTTTGAAACACACTTTTCACTTTTGAGACTCGGATATGGATCAACTCCATTACACCTCCATTACACCTACACTTCTCATCTCCATGACAACTAACAGAAGGAATTTTTCTTCCTATCAAACCAAATGTGGGTAAGCAACACATTTAAGTGAAACGTGTTAAATGTGAGTGAAACCGAGGAAAGCAAAATTAATCAAACTTTGGGACTTCCATTTATAGACTCTGGTGTATGAAAGTGCCTGGATCTTGGGACTTGAGATTTTATTGCTCAGGACATTACAGTCATTCACAGATGTTTTATTCATTTATTTTCACCTCCACAGCAGCCAGAGGCTTAAGTTCCCATAAGGGACCTTCTGTGCTGTGTGCTTTTGTAAAATGTTGCCATATTAAAGGGAAACTATAACAGGGGTAATTTTTTTTCTTTTTTAAGTTGTTGAAATATATATATTTCACATAAATAAAAGGTTTTATGTGAAAAGCAGTCTAAAGCTCCACCTGTTGGTTAAAAAAGAGAAGGTAAATTATTAATATGCAATATTTAGGCCCCTTGGCCCCTTTCACACGGGCGTTCAGTTTAGATCTGTCTTCCAGTTTTTTAGACGGATCCAGACTGAACCACAATGAAGGTCTATGGGTGTGTGGATGTAAATGGATGATCACCTGTTTACATCTGCCTACATCCATGTCAGTTTAGGTTCATTTTTTTAAACTGAACAGCCAATGTCCAGGAAGGCTCATAACAAAATGAGCCCAAGCACAAAGATTTCCATAGTGCAAAACTGCTTTAATCAGATCAGGATATAACAAATATAAAAAAAATATACACTCACACTTTGTGTAGAATAACAGTATTAAGAAAGAAAACCACGTGGTATGTCACTGAGGGCAGCTTCCTGACATGTTTCATGCAATAGCAGGGTGCTTAAAGTGAAGCACATGGACACAGACACAAATAAAACAGCACACAATTAACCCTTTGATCGCCCCTCATGTTAACCCCTTCCTGCCCAGTGCCATTAGTACAGTGTCAGTGCTTTTTTTTTTTTAGCACTTATCACTGTATTGGTGTCACTGGGAATGTCAGTGACACCAAGTTAGTTCCCCCCTAGTGTCAGAATGCCCACCGCAGTCCCACTATACGTTGCTCATCGCCGCCATTACTAGCAAAAATTAAAAATAAAAAATCCCAGTATATATACCTCCATTTGTAAATGCTATAACTTTCACGTAAACCAATTAATTTACATGTATTGGAATTTTTTTTTAGCAAAGACATGTAGCAGAATACATTTTGGCCTAAATTTATGATGAAATTTGATTTTTACATTTTTTTACTGGACATGTTTAATAGCAAAAAAGTCCAAAATATTGTTTTTTTTTTCTCAAAATTTTTTATAGTGCAAAAAATAAAAAACGCATAGGTGATCAAATACCACAGAATGAAAGCTCAATTCGTGGAAAAAAGGACTTAAATTTAATTTTGGTGCAGCATTGCATGACCACACAATTGTCAGGTTGCAGCGCCGTAACGCACAAAATGGCCTGGTCCGGAAGGGAGGTAAATCCTTAGGAGGGCAAGTGGTTAAGAGAGAAATGAAATGAAAACATTTGTTGAAATTTCACTTCAGAGGTTTCTGGTATGATCAACAGGTATTTTTGCAGAAATAAGGAGACCAACAACCATCACATCTAAGGACTGGCAAGCTGCAATATGTTACATTCTGTTCTTAGATTTAAATACATTTTAAGATGGATAGTGTGTTTATAGGATCAATGCAAGGTATTTCACAATTACCCAAATTTACTATAAAACTACAAAATGCACTACTAAGCTGTCCAACTTTTCCATAAAGGAGCATGCAATTGAGTGCCAGTTCACATATATGCAGATTGGATGCAGTTTGAGCCTCATCCAATCCGCATGACATATGAAAATATATTGCTTCCTATGGTGCCTGTTCACATATGTACGATGCACTGGCGGTGCAGATTCAGTGCAGTTGAAAAAGAGACATGTATAATTTCTGAGCAGTGCCTTCAGGTTCAGGTGCAGATTACAGGCCTTGACTTCTATGGAAACCGTTTCTAAACCTCATATGTGTGAACAGGATATTGCATTGACATGAAATTGTTTGCTATTCATTTTAGAGCTACAAAATCAGGTGATAAATAATGCTCACTTGCACAAAAAGCTTGGTGGTTATAACGTGGCTTTAATAAATTCAACTATATAGCCAATACAATAGGACAAGAAAAGATAAAATAAAATATGCTCCCAGCTGAGTTCAGTAGTACAGGGAACACTGTGGACTCTTATGTAATGGGGAATGCTGCAGACTCTGATGTAAGGGGGAATGCTGAAGACTCTGGTGTAGAGAGAAACTCTAAAGTAAAGGGCGTCACCAGAGTCCTCCTTACACAAGAGTCCACAAAGCTCCTCTTTACATCACAGGCAACAGAGTTCCTCTTTACATCAGACTCCAGAATTCTCCTTCTCATCACAGTCTACAAAGTTCTCTCTAACATCTTAGTCCATGACATTCCCCTTTACATCACAGTCCACAAAGTTCTACCTTACATGAGTCAACAGATTTCCCCTTTAAATCAGAGTCTGCAGGGTTCCCCCTTACAGTGTAAGCAGGAACTCTGCAGACCCTGATGTAAAGGGGAACATGGTGGACTCTGATGTAAAGAGGAACTCTGAAGATTGATATGAAAAGGTAAACTGTGATGTAAGGGGGTCTCTGGTAACCATAGCCACCGCCCTTACACAAGAGTCCACAGAGTTCCCCCTTAAATCAGTCTGCAGGATTTGCCCTTACAGTGCATAGGGGAACTCTGCAGAATCTGATATAATAGGGGAACTCTAACGTAAAGGAGAACGCCGATCATGATGTAAGGGGGAATGCTTCAGACTCTGGTGTAAAGAGGAACTCTGATGTAAGGTGATCTCTGGTCACTAGAGCCCTTTTTACATCAGAGTCCACAGAATTGTCCTTTACATCAGAGTTCTCACTTACATCAGGGTTTGCAGCATTCCTCTTTACCTGAGAGTCTGCAGAGTTCCCCCTTGCACTGTAAGGGAGAATCCTGGAGACTATGATGTAAAGGGGAATGTTGAGAACACTGATTTAAGGGAAATGCTGGGAACTCTGAACACAGACCACCTTTCACTGATTGAATACACTAAGATAATGGGAATTTACTGATATAAAGGCTTTATATCAGTGCCCCCCCTTACCTTACTGTTTTCATTCCCCCCTTACATCAGAGACACCCCCCCACACACACAGTGGTGGCACTGTCACTGACCCCCTCTCAGGTGTACTGTGCAGGGCTCAGTAAGATGGTCTTCTCCAGACTCCAGCTGGGCAGCTCTGGTTTCATCCTATTCTCCTCTCCACAGTTCACACACATAGTTACATAGTTAGTCTGGCTGAAAAAAGACAAAAGCCCATCCAGTTCAACCATAAAAAAAAACAAAAAAAAAAGTTATAATCCTATACCCACAGTTGATCTAGAGAAAGGCAAAAAAACCAGCATGATCCAATTTGCTCCTGCAGGGGAAAAAAGTTCTTCCTGATCCCCCGAGAGGCAATCGGATATTCCCTGGATCAACTTTACCTATAAATGTTAGTATCCAGTTATATTCTGTGTATCCAAGAAATAATCCAGGCCTTTTTTAAAGCAATCTACTGAGCTGGCCAGAACCAACTCTTGAGGGAGTCTATTCCACATTTTCACAGCTCTTATTGTGAAGAAACCTTTCCATATTTGGAGATTACATTTCTTTTCCTCCAGATGTAAAGCGTGCCCCCTTGTCCTCTGTGATGACCTCAAGGTGAATAGCTCTACACCGAGTTCACTATATGAACCACTGATGTATTTATACATGTTGATCATATCCCCCCTTAATCTCCTCTTCTAAAGAGAGAATAAATTCAGTTCCTCTAATCTTTCCTCATAGCTGAGCTCCTCCATGCCTCTTATCAGTTTGGTTGGCCTTCTCTGTACTTTCTCCAGTTCCCCAATGTTCTTTTTATGAATTGGTCCCCAAAATTGAACTGTATATTCCAGATGAGGTGTTACTAATGATTTGTACAGGGGTAATATGATATCTCTCTCTCTGAAGCCTATACCTCTTTTAATACAAGAGAGGATTTTTTCGCTTTAGAAACTGCAGCTTGGCATTGCATGCCATTAGTAGCCTCCCTAGTGGTCTTATTATGTCAGTATTTCTGTGCTCAAAGTGGTACATTTTTTTGCATGGAAATATGTATTTTTTTTATTGTAGGCCTGTAATTTTTAGGAATAACTCACTGAAATCTGTCCGAACAAGAGTCTAGTAAACATCCCGGGTATGCTAAAATTTGAAACACGAAATCGTAAATTATAATTTAATAAATAATCATAAAAAATAATATTAAATTTAATTCAATAATATAATCAAACCAAAAACACTGAAATTTGAAATATAGCGCCAAGTTCGCACATCACTGAGCAAAGTCGCAAAATCGTTTTCAGTGTCTGATGATGAATTTCCTCACGGATCATTTATCACTCAATTCTGCAAGTGATTCTAATTTACTATCGCTGTTCTCTAGCTGATCTAAAACTGCTTTTGACCTAAAGGGACGCTTTTTGGACCCCATGGACATTTCTCAGTCTCCAGGCAGAAAGAACAGTAAAAATGCAGGCAGGGCACAGGACAAAACACTAGGGACAAAATGTATGTGAAATGCTTTGATACAGTAATGTTTTACTATGTGATTTTAGTGTATTTAGTGAATGTCACTTTTTCACATTTTTACATTTCCTGCTGTTCCATCCCCATACGTCCCGACGTCGCAGGGAACGGAACCCAGAAGAAGGATGCTGGCATCGGCCGGAGGACATTGCCAGGGACACTGCAGGAGAGACATCGCGGGAGCGAAGGACAAGGTAAGTGAAGAAGAGATCCCAGAGCAGCGCTGCAGGGTATTCCCGAGTGTGGCTCGGGATTACCGCTTGTGGTGCTGAAACTTTACCCCGAGCTACACTCGGGAATACCTCCAGGGAGGTTAAGCTTGTGATCTACCAGAACTCCCAGATCCTTCTCCACCATTGAGTCCCCCAGTTGTACTCCTCCTAATATGTATGCTGCATGCATATTCTTAGCCCCCAAGTGCATAACCTTACATTTATCAACATTAAACCTCATTTGCCACATAGTTACCCAATTAAACAGTGCATTGAGGTTGGCTTGTAAATTGGAGACATCCTGTAAAGATGTTATTCTACTGCACAGCTGTAAGCTGTAAAGACTGAAATGGGATTTTTAATCCCAGACCCTATATCATTTATAAATATATTAAAAAGTAAGGGTCCCAACAATGAACCTTGGGGTACAACACTAACAACCCTAAACCATTCAGAGTATGAATCATTAACCACTACTCTCTGAATACCATCTTTTAGCCAGTTTTCTATCCATTTACATACGGATTTTTCCAAGCTTGTAGACTTTACCTTACACATTAGCCGTGTGTGGGGAACTGTGTCAAACGCTTTTGCAACATCCAAGTATACCACGTCCTCCGCCACCCCTCTGTCTATGTTTTTGCTCACCTCTTCATAGAAAGAAATCAGATTTGTTTGACAACTTCTGTCTTTTAAAAATCCATGCTGTCTGTTGCTTAAAATATTTTTTTCCAGCAAGAACTCATCTATGTGGTCTTTTATTAAACTCTCCAGTATCTTCCCAACTATAGAAGTTAAACTAACAGGTCTATAATACTTGGTAAAGATTTTGACCCTTTTTAAATATTGGCACCACATTGGCCTTACGCCAATCCAGTGGTACTATGCCAGTCATTAAAGAGTCCCTAAAAATTAGAAACAATGACTTTGAAATGACAGAGCTCAATTCTTTAAGGATCCCTGGATGTATGCCATCCGGTCCAGGTGCTTTATTCACCTTTATTCTGTCTAATTGTTTCTGGATCATATCAGTTGTGAGCCAATGTGGATCATCTGGAGCTGTGTAAATACCATGCCCATTGTGGACAAGAGCTCCCCCCCGCTCCTTTGTGTACACAGAGCTGAAGAAGGCATTTAATAAATTTGCCTTCTCTTTGTCCCCAGTCACTCACTCTAGATTTTTTTGTAAAGGGCCTATATAATATATAACACACATTAACATTAATATATAACACACGTCTGACTCTTCCCATGACCCCTGTCCAGGCTGTGCTTCCACTCTTATTTTGCGAGCAGATTTTAGACAATGATTTTGGCGGAAACCTGCTGATCAGCTGTGGCCAATCACAGCACAGAGTTTTGTGTTTACAAATAGAACAGAGACTGTTTCTTCTCCGTGAAAAGCACAAAGAAAATCAGACAAATCTGTGAGTAAAAGTAGCACACATTACACTTGTTAGGCACACAGTTAACCCCTTGATTTATCCTTGATGTTAACACCTTTCCAGCCAGTGTTGTTAGTATATTAATACAATGTACAGTATTATCACTGTATTAACCTCCCTAGCGGTCTGATTATGTCCATATTTCTGTGCTCAAAGCGGTACATTTTTTTGCATGGAAATATGTATTTTTTTATATTGTAGGCCTGTAATTTTTAGGAATAACTCACTGAAATCTGTCCGAACAAGAGTCTAGTAAACATCCCGGGTATGATAAAACTTGAAACACGAAATCATAAATTATAATTTAATAAATAATCATAAAAAATAATATAATAATAATAATAAATTTAATTCAATAATATACTCAAACCAAAAACACTGAAATCTGAAATATAGCGCCAAGTTCGCACATCACTGAGCAAAGTTGCAAAATCCTTTTCAGTGTCTGATGACGAATCTCCCCACGAATCATTATCACTCAGTTCTGCAAGTAGTTCTAATTTAATATCGCTGGTCTCTAGCTGGTCTAAAACCGCTTTTGACCTAAAGGGACGCTCTTTGGACGCCATGGACATTTCTCCGTTTCCAGGCAGAAGGAACAGTAAAAATGCAGGCAGGGCACAGGACAAAGCACTAGGGACAAAATGTATGTGAAATGGTTTGATACAGTAATGTTTTACTATGTGATTTTAGTGTATTTAGTGAATGTCACTTTTAGTCATTTTCAAATTTCCTGCCATTCCGTCCCTGCACGTCCCAACGCTCGCAGGGGACGGAACCCAGATGACAGATGCCGGCATCCGCCGGATTAAATTGCCGGGGACACTGCAGGAGGGACATCGCGGGAGCGCAGGACAAGGTAAGTGATCGAGGGATCGCAGAGAAGCGCCGCATGGTATTCCCGAGTGTAGCTCGGGGTTACCGCTTGTGGTACTGAAACTTTACCCCAATCTACACTCGGGAATAC